CAAACTACCCCGTCGCAAAGCCCGGCTGCCTCGACCGATGCGGTGACGTCAGCATCCCGTACCCATTCGGCACGACACCCGGCTGCTACCACAGCGACAGCTTCAACATCACCTGCAACCACACGTTCGATCCCCCGAGACTCGTCTTCAAGAACATGCCGAGGAGCGACATTACCGAAATATCCCTCACGGGACAGCTCGTTCTCCTCCGGCATGTCGCGCACGACTGCCACGACCGCAACCAGACCCGAACCTCGTACGCTCGCCCGTGGATCAGGCTCCCGAGTCAACTCACGGTCAACAACACTGCCAACCGGTTCACGATCGTCGGCTGCAACGCGTACGGTTACGTCTCTGGCCGTCGGCGGGTCAACCAGAACTACACGACGGGTTGCACGGCGAGGTGCAACGCAGTGGATGACCTGGAGAGGGGCTCGTGCATGGGGATCGGCTGCTGCCAGACCTCGATCCCACGGGACATGCGGAGTGTCGTGCTGGAGCTGAGAAGTTATGCCAACTACAGCTACGTGTGGGGGTTCAACAACTGCAGCTACGCTTTCGTGGCGGACGAGAGGGCGTTTCCGTCTTTTTCGCCCGAGAATCGGACGAGCTTGAGGGGCGTGAAGAAGATGCCGATGGTGGTCGACTGGGCCATAGGGAACGAAACTTGTGACGAGGCTCGGAGGAATATCACACGATATGCTTGCAAGAGCCGGGACTCAGAGTGTTACGAGCCGATTAACGGTTCTGGTTATCGTTGTTCCTGCAGGGAGGGCTACGAAGGAAATCCGTACCTCGTGCATGGTTGTCGAGGTAGGTATTTTCAGGTTTAGAGGTCGGTTATTTCACAATTCATTGTTCAACTTTAGTCTCTAGTTGCGTTAGACGCGTTACACTTTGCTCGTTTCACTTTGTTTTCGTCTTGAGACTAAAGTTAGGATAAAGTTTCAATCTTTTTTAGTTAAAGTTTGCATCTTTTAGGTAAGTACTTTTAATTTATTAGGTTAATCTAGTTTAAAATCTAACCAAGCAACTTGTTTAGAATGTCTAGTACTTTTATTTTTTAGATCTTTGTGTTGTGACGATTAGATAGTAAACGAAGCCCCAAATAGTGAGAGACGACCCGAGGTTCCAAAATACTCGATTATCAATCAATTTCCAAAATCTATACTCAACAAAGCCGGAATTTGAATTGATTAACAGAGTAAATAATATATGAACTCTTTTTTTCTTTTTCTTTTTTTCCAAGATTTTGATTACCTACGTTGTTTTGCAGATGTAAACGAGTGTCTGAATCCAACGCTAAACGTCTGCGAAAAGAGATGTATCAACACGCTCGGTGGCTTTCATTGTGTGTGTCCGAAATGGTACTATGGCGATGGAAGACAAGGTGGGAAAGGTTGCATACGTGATGGATCGCTCGTCTACAAACTTGCTGCAGGTTATAATCACTACTCTTTTGAGCCGAAAAACGTATAGCAGCAAGATTAGAGAAAAGAAAAGAACCTAACATGAATGTATATCCTGTTTTTGTGAAAAAATTTGACAATAGGTATTGCTATAGGAGTCATAGGACTTTTACTCGCTGGTTGCTGGCTGCACTGGGAGGTCAAAAGAAGGAGACTGATCAAGACGAGACGAAAGTTTTTCATGCAAAACGGCGGCATGCTGTTGCAGGAGAAACTCGTAGCTAAAGAAAGATCGGCATCCTCTTGCACGTCCCGAATCTTCAGTTCATCCGAGCTGAAAAAGGCTACCAAAAACTTCAACAGCAACATGATCATAGGCCAAGGAGGCTACGGAACCGTCTACAAAGGCTTACTTCCCGATAACCAAACAGTCGCCATAAAAAAATCCAAATTAGAAGTTGACCCGAACCAAATCGAGCAGTTCATCAATGAAGTAATCATTCTCACCCAAATAAACCACCGAAATGTCGTCAAGCTCCTCGGCTGCTGTCTCGAGATGCGAGTGCCTCTGCTCGTTTATGAGTTCGTGAACAACGGCACACTTTACGAACACTTACACGGCGGCAAGGACAAGGCGCGGGCCCTCTCGTGGGACGTTCGTCTTAATATAGCGAGGGAGACAGCTGGCGTGCTTTCGTACCTACACTCTTCAGCCTCGATTCCGATCATACACAGGGATGTGAAGTCGGCGAATATTCTTTTGGACCACACGTTCACGGCAAAAGTGTCCGATTTTGGGGCCTCAAAACTCGTCCCGTTGGACCATACACAGCTGTCGACAGTTGTCCAAGGGACGCTTGGTTATTTAGACCCGGAGTACATGCAGACAAATCAGCTGACCGAGAAAAGTGACGTGTACAGCTTCGGGGTAGTGTTTGTCGAGCTTCTGACGGGGATGAAGGCTTTGAGCCACGATAGGCCGGAAGAGGAGATGAACCTGGCGAATTATTTCCTTTCGTCGATGAGGGCAAATCGAAATCGGTTGTTTGAAATTGTTGCGGATGATATCGTGAGGGAGGGAGATAACGAGGAGCAGGTGACGAGAGTGGCCGAGCTGGCAATGAGCTGTCTGAACGTGAGAGGGGAAGATCGGCCGAGTATGAAGGTGGTGGCGATGGAATTGGAAGGGTTGGTTAGAGTCGGAGGAACGCAGCCGTGGGTCGAGCCTAAGGGATATGATACCGAGTCTTTGGTTGGTGATGGATTTAATAGCTTTGAGGATTTCGATGTTCTGGCGATTCAGACATTGTGATGAATATGGAAAAGAGAGGTGTGAGGTTTGAAATAGTTAAAACTTTGTGTTGTCAGCATAAAACTTGTTATGGCTTTGCAAGCTCTGCTGTATATTTCCTTCTTTCATTCACAAAGAACTTATAGCAATACTTACACTTGAGTCTCCTCATTTTCTTTGACTAAAGAAACCATTGAACATTATCACAAATCACAAAGAAAAACAAAACAAAAAAGTGATTATTGTTCTGAAATCTGAATACATAAATAGCACAAATTCAAAAAAAAAAAAAAAAAAAA